GTGGCCCGGCGGGAGCGCGGGCGTCCGCCGCCGTCCCGGCTCCCGGCGCTGTTCTCTGGCCGAGCTGAGCACTCACACCAGCACCACCGGGAGACAGAAACTAAGTCAGACAGCGAAGGGAGAGTACTGGAACCAGCAAGAGCGCGGAGCCTCCCCACCGCTGCGCACACTGCCAGGTCGCGGGGCGCTGCGGGGCAGAGGCAGCCCCCCACCTCCCCGGAAGGGCACACGCGGCCCTCGGAAGACCGCTGGGGGCCGAGGGCAGCGGCCACGCCCGCCCTCACGGGCTGCAGGCAACATCCCTGAGGGTTAGGCTTTACAACTCAAATAATTTTAATGGAGAACTAACAAAGGTAATTTTTAAAGAGAAAGCTGGAAGGTACAAGACTGCAAGGCAGAAGTTTTAAATTAAAGCGCTTGATTCACTATGCCACTGGATTTCTTTGTGATTGAGGGGAGAAGTCCTCCCCTGGCTGTGTTTTTTCACTTTTGGTGACTTAAGGACAGTGTCCCTCATATAGTATGAGCTGAAGCTTGCATCCTAAAAGGCCGAAGAGCCCCTGGGTCTTAGTTGTCCCCTTTGTAACCAGACGTCTTCAGAGGAAGGAGGAGAGAGGGGTGCCTGTCTCCTGGTGACGTCTCGTGCCCATTTCCATGCCACACAGAGCGGGTGCCCGGCCAGGGTGGCCTGGGGCTGACGGGATGATAAAGCTCCAGTGTGCCGCGGCTCTGGTGGGCTTTCTGGAAGGTTCTTTTCCAGTCATGTTCTCCCTGGCCCACAGTCTTGGAGGTCTGGCTCTCGTAAGGGGGACTAAGAAAAGGAGGGCCGGTCTCCACCACTGGGCAGCTGACACACAAGGGGCCACAGTGAGCCCTTCCTAGGCTGACCCTGCCTGTCCCCATCAACCCATGTGAGGAAAAAGCCTGGCCCCAGACACAGTCCTGTGGAGGGAGCATGTCCCTGTCATCAGCAGGTGCTGGGCACTACCCAAGCAGCAATAGGCCAGAGACAGAAGGGGCCGAGCAGAAGCTGCCCGTCCCTGCTGCGGCTGCAGGGCTCCCAGCGCGCCGCTCCACGCTCAGGACCCACGGTGCTCACAGCACAAGCCAGGCTGGGTCACCACAGGGCCAGGACCAGTGGGCCACCTACCATGCGGCTCAAGCTCTGGGACACCTGGAGGTAGAACCTGAAGAGGAAGCTGACCAGCAGGGTCCTCCTGAACTCCACCCTGCCTCCGGGGGCTGCACCGGGGATGATGACCTCGCCCAGGACCAGCCTGCAGGCCTCGCCCAGCGTGTCCTCTGTCCAGGGCCTGGTGGGAGGGCAGAGGACAGGACTCAGCCTCCCGTAGGCTCTGGGGCTGCTCCAAGCAGGGTCACATGCTCAGGGTGTGGCCTACCCTCCCTGTCCTCCGTCCCAGCCTAGGGGCAGCACTGGTCCCATTTCCAGGAAAACTGATCACGCCAGGTTCTGTGTGGGTCTGCACCCACTCAAGTCTCTCAGTTTCCTGGGGTGGGGGGAGCTGAGCTGACCGTCAGCACAGACCTCAGTTCACCGCAAGCGTGATGTGGAATGATCACGGAACCTCACTGGGAGCCCGGCATGAACGCCGAGTTCTGTGCATCCCATCTCTCAGTGGAGGGGCTGCTGCAGCTGGCCTCCCTGAACGCCATGTCTCACCTTCCGAGGAGCTTCCGGCAGGTGTCTGTGGCACAGAGGATGGCTGGTCCGATGCCCCCATACAGGATGGAAAGCTCCGTGATGACTCCGTCTCCTCCAAAGAAGACCCTCATGCCTGCATTCACAGTGGCTCGTGCGCTCCGTTTTCGCTGTGCCTGCCGGAAGGCAGACACGAACTCCCACTGGAAGGCAGGAAAGCAATGCAGGTGGCAACCAGGGGCACGAGCGTCGCTGGGATGAGCCACGTGTCCTGGCCTGGTCCCTGGCATCCCCTGAGCTGTCCCCCGATTCTCACGGCCTCCTACGGCATCCCAACTCTGGCACCGCAGAAGGTGGCTACCATAGGACACCCCCTCAAGGGCACATGTGTTTAGGCCCTTAGGAGCTGGAGGTGAGGAGGGGCTGTGGGCTTGGGGAGAGACAGGCCTTGGGGGGCCGGGGGTGGGGGGCTCAGAAGAAGCCGCCCTGCTCGCAGGGTCTCTGGACTCCAGCACCAGTCTGCCTGTCTGGCCCTGGCTCATGGCCCTGCTGCAGCAGCCTGGCGGGCTCGGTCCTTCTCAGCCTATGAGGCAGCAGGGACTGGAGCAGCACGCCAGGACTCCACCTGCATGCATTAGCTCCCACAAAGCCTGGCCTCCTCCAGGAGGTGCGACTGCAAACGCAATTGTTTAGCCTCTTTCAAGCCCAAGGACCGGTGAAGGGAGGTCCCGTGTGTTGCATTAGGAAAAGCTTTATGAACAGAGAATTTTGGTATCTATTAGAAAGATGTTGGGGTGGGGGAAGGCCAGGGTCCCCTGGAAATGACCCTGTCACACTGCGTCCTGAGACCCAGCCTCTATCTCCCCATGAACATCTGGCGCTTTTGCTCAGCCATCATCCGCGGGAATCGAGCCCCGGCTCACAGGGCAACCAGACATCCTCACCTTCCGCGTGTACGGGACGGTCACAGACAGCAAGACCTCCTGAGGCTTGAGATCTGCACTGGGACTCCTGTCAAGGAAACGCTCGTCCAGTGGGATCTGCCGGGCTCCTTCTGCAGAGAGAACAGTCATTCGCAGAGCTGCATGTCTCCCCGCAAGAGAAAGGGTCGGAGGAGCCTCGCCTCACCTTCTGACAGCACGTGGAGGGTGCAGCTGCCTGCGGCCAGGAGGGGATTCAGATCTGAGTCCAGATGCCTGCTCACAATGTGGCCTCCTAAAGACTTTTAAAATAATGAGTTCTTTTCTCTGCTGCCTTGCAGTTACAAAACCACATTCTTACTAAAGTAAAAATGTGCATCTTGGGCTGGTGAGATGGCTCAGTGGTCTAAAGCATCTACTTAGAACAAGCTTAGCAGAGCACAGGAACGGCGGTTCAATCCCCCAGCACCACATGCCAGCCTGCCCCACCCCCTTGTGGGCTGAGCTGGCCACACACACACACACACACACACACACACACACACACAAATAAATAAAAAAAAATTTTAAAAAAATAATCTGCATCTTGCACAACAAATAACCACTAGGAAGGCAGTATGTGATGTGTTAATTATTGGAATTGTCCTACCAATTCGATTTGGAACTGTCTCATTGCTATTTATTTCTCAATAAAATTATGGAAATCATAAATAAATAAATAAATAAGAATTTAATTTGGAGTACTGCTCCTTCTGCCTGTTTGAAAGAACAGGATGATTCCTGTAGGAGAGCTGCCCCAAGTGCACACACCAGTGTGCTGGCCTCACACACGTACAGCCATGCTCCTGATCTGAGATCCAGCCAGGGTCTGCAGCTGCTGCAGGAGAGCGTGGAGAGTCTGCGTCTTCTCCTCTGGGAGCCGCTGGACCACATCAGCCAGTACATCTTGCACCTGGGCCAGGCTCAGGCCAGCACCCAGGGTCAGCCCTGAAACAGAGGCATGTGAGCAGAGAGCCATGCTGCGGCTGCCAGGTAGACCACAGATGCAGGCATGGGGGCTTTACAGACTCTTCCAAGTCATTAATGATGGTGGTAATGGAGATGGTTGTGGTGATGGAGGTGACGGAAGTGATGGCAATAGTGATGGAGGTGATGGAAATGGACAACGTGATGGAGGAGGCGGTGACAGGAGTGGTAGTGGTGATGGAGGAGATGGAGGTGATGGAGGAGGTGAAGAGGTGTGGGTGATGAAGGGGTGATGGAGGAGGTGATGGAGATGGAGGTGATGGAGGAGGTGATGAGGCACAGGTGATGAAGGAGGTGATAAAAGAGGTATGGAGGTGATGGATGAGGTGATGGAGGAGGACATGGAGGTGATGGAGGAGGTGATGGAGGAGGTGATGAGGTGCAGGTGATGAAGGAGGTGATAAAAGAGGTGATGGAGGAGGAAGTGGAGGAGGGAATGAAGGGGGTGATGGAGGAGGTGATGGAGGTAATGGGGTATAGATGATGAAGGAGGTGACTGAGGAGGTGATGGAGGTGAAGGAGAAGGAGATGGAGGAGGTGATGAGGTGTAGGTGATGAAGAAGGTGATGGAGGTGGTAATAGAGGAGGTGATGGTGATAGAGGGGGCAATAAAGGGGGTAATGAAGGAGGTGATGGAGGTGACAGATAAGGTGATGGATGAAGTGACGGAGGAGATGGAGAAGATGGAGGGGCTGTGACAGAGGGGGAATGAGAGGTGGTGGCGGAGGTGATGAGGTGGAGGTGCTGGAACTGGTAGTGGCACTGGCCGTGGCGATACAGCTGATAACGGAGCTGAGGAACGTAAACTCTTTCACGGTCACCCTATTGTGCAGTAGAGTGAGCACGACCTTCGTGAATTGGAACAAACCACAAGACACTACCGCACAGGCAGAATTCAGCCCAGAAGCTCCACTGAGACCCCCACGTACATGGCCCCTGTCCGTGGCATCGAGCCGCCTTCCTCCATGGGAGAGAAGCCCTTAGGGCCAACAGCTCAGCTAGTCTGCTTGCGCTGGGCTTTGGGAGCACGAACTGCGCTCCATTCAGCCACCCACCTGGTGCGCCTGGCAAGCCCCCTCACTGAGCACTGGCTACAGCTGACACTGGACAGAGGGCTCAGATGGCCCCTAGGCATGGTGACCACAGAGGACTCGTCCCATAGCCCCCGGAAACTGGCCACTGTCACCAGCACAGACCACGGCTACAGTTATGGAGGATGGCTACTTGTCAGCTGGCCAGAGCCATGAGCCCAGAGAGCATCTGAGCTAAGCACACAAGACTGCTGTGTCGTGTACGTGCACCAGTCCCCACAGGGAGTGAGGGCGGGAGGCGGCGGGACGGGAAGGGGAAAGGCCAGTGGAGATGTCCAGCGTCCATGAGCTCACCTCCTAAGGTCAGTGCACGCTGCACATGCTGCAAGCATGCACCAATTAAATATTTTTAGTGTATTTAGTGCAGGGTCTCACCACACAGGTTGGACTCATAGTGATCCTCCTGTTTTTCAGCCTCCGAAGGGCTGGGATTACAGGCGTGCACCAGCATGCCCAGTCTCAGTCGCCACCTCAGCGGGCCTCGGGGCGGGGCTGGCATGGCACGTCGGGATCAAACCCTGGTCCTGCACTGTGCCTAAACAGGTGCTTTAGTCTGCTGAGCTATCTGGCTGGCCCTAAAATAAATACTTTGAATGAGGGAGAAGAAAAAAACATGGGTTCATAGGGACCAACCATTGCACTCCTGCTTTATGACATTCAGGTCTTCAATTCCATCAGGAGAAATTATAACTGGGTGGAAGATGCCTTTAAATTTCATTTCAGGCCCTAAAAATTTAAAAAGAAGATTAAGGTAACTGGAGGCTAACTACCCTTTTAATTTTGCTCTTATGACTGAACTGATGCCCTTAAATATATAAAATGTATTCCTTTCACAGAGAAGAACAGCCCGATGGATTTTTGTTAAAGCTCAAGGTTGACGGGAATTGGCGGACCGAAGCCTTGGTTCGTATGGCTCAATCTGATTCTCTTTGGGGAGACTCTGGGGTGTCCTCAGAGAGGGGCAGGGGCAGTCAGTGCCTTCGGACGCAGCAGGTACCCGAGCTGTGTTTTCAGAAAGCGTCTCATACCTGGAGGACGGTCCTACCTCCCTGCTGCGGGGTGGGGTGGGGGATGGGCACCTCTGTGCACGGGCCCAGGATCACTTGTCAGTGACAGCAGCTCTCTGGGCATGCCAAGGAGGCCAAGCCCAGGGGCTAGAGAGGCTGCTTCTGCCTGCGTTTCCTGGGGAGGCCGCCCTGCCAGCCTGTTCTGCACCAGGACCCAGCTTCGTACCCACGGAGGTGTTGCCCATGACCACCGGGGCCTGGGGGAACTTGGACTTGGCTTTCAGAAGGTCCTTCAGGGTCACCGGGGAAATCCAGGTCATTCTGTCACCCTTGAAAACCCGGGACTTCCGTGGCTGCTTCTTAGCCAGCATCTACAGGGAGACAAGAGGGGCCTGAGCTGCCCTGGCTGCCGTTTCCCTACGGCTGCCCTGTCGTGGCTGAGGGGCACAGGCAGCTCCTCTGGGAGGGACCAGAGAGAGGGCCACAAGGGAACCAGGGCTGGGAAGAGCACATGGTGCTGGGCTCTGGGAAGCTCCCTGGGCACCCATGTCTCAAGGGACCCCTTCCGTGTGCAAAATCCACTGACACCCTCGTGGGTCAAGCAGGCTACGGCAAAACGTGTCCACGTCTACACACAGTGGCCTCATGGCTTCCTGCACATGGCACCAGCCGTTTCCAACAGGGGCTGCACTCATTCGCCGCCCACCACGGAAGCGGCCAGGCGGGCGTGCACTGTCACCACCAGTCCCTCTGGGAAGAGGCTAACACGGGCTCCCTCACCATCAGCTCGGGAGGAAATATCAGCTCTTGAGTTGGATCGAGTGGCACAAACTCCTCTTCCGAGAAGCACTCTGGACTCGTCTTAAAAGAGAGAGGACCAGAAGTCACTGTTGAGTTCTGAGACACCTGGAGCCACGCACCCGAAGGAGCCTGGGGCGGTCCACACTTCCCACTTGTTCTTACTACATAGTCCACACACCCGAAGGAGCCTGGGGCGGTCCACACTTCCCACTTGTTCTTATTACATAGTCCACGCACCTTAAGGAGCCTAGTGGGGTCCACACTTCCCACTTATTCTCACCACGTAGTCCACACACCCGAAGGAACTTGGTGCGGTCCACGCTTCCCACTTGTTCTTACTACATAGTCCACACACCCAAAGGAGCCTGGTGCGGTCCATGCTTCCCACTTATTCTCACCACGTGGTCCTAGCAGGCTCTTTTGCCTTGTCCCTCGGAGCCTTCACCTCTCCCCAGGGCAGAGCCTTGGGGCACCCAGCACACCTGAACATCTGCATCATTCCCTGGGCACTGCTCGTGGACCAGGGCAACCCCTACCCACCACTGCAAGTGCACGGCAGCTGCTCTGACACCCAGAGTTCACACAGCCAGGCAGGCACAGCATGGACACCGTACCAGGGCGGCCATGTGCCTGTGGGCAAAGTGGACCTGGGGCGAGTCAGGCAACGATCCAGACAGGCTGACGGCATGTCCCGGGTGACAATGTGCTGTCACCCAGCAAATCTGACTCTGGAAATCATTTGAAGAGCTCGCTTGGGAGATGAGACATGGCCCTCCTGGGCCCCTCCAGGTGGGGCTGGGCCCTGTCACCCTCACTGATGTCACTGGCCTTGAGGCACAAGCTCTGTGGATCGCCTGTCCCCCTACCACCTTCCCCACCTGTTGCTCCCCGACCCCTGCTCGGAACCAGCTTAGAAAAGCTTGGGGGTGCTCAGGCCCTGACTTCCTCCCAGAGCAGCTGTGCTGCAGGGGCCTGGCTTCAGGGCAAGGAGCAGAGTATCTGGGGCAGGTTTCTAAGCAGTTTTATTTTCTGCTGACACCTGGCCAGGAGTGGGTCGGGATGACATTTCCACACGGCGTCAGCGGGGGACCCCGGTGGTGGCATGTCCCTCCAACGTCTACCACTCCACTAAGTGAGGGCGTGGGGCCCGTGCACTGGGCTGTGTGCAGTGTTCAGCTGTTCTTGGCCACTGGCCCCTGTGCTGTGGCAAGAAGTCGCCTCCCGCGGCCTCCCTCTTGCCATGGTCCAGTCCCTCTCAGGCAGATCCCAGGAGAGACGCGTGACAGGGAAGGGGACTTGAGCAGGCAGGCAGGCACACAGCGCAGCCTACACCCGGAGCTGCCAAGGCTCGGCCCAGCTTCCGCTCACTGACCTGACCTCCCTCCTCTGATCCTGGGGCTCCATTTACTCCTTGGTCCAAACAGCAAACCCCATTTTCTTTACTTTGGCAGCAGCCAGAAACCTAGTGGACAAAAAAGCAAATTGTGGGAACATGAAGCTGATCCTTTAGGTAGTAAGTAAACCGGCTGGAACACAGCAGGACGGGTACCGTCAAACAGGACCTGACAGGATCGATGTTGTCACGTGTCACGAGAAAAGCCATCTGTACTTAAACGTATCCAAGCCACTTCTAATTATAACGCTGAGCTGATGAGACAATCTGACCAGCAGTGATTATTAAGTTAAGCCACGTACAGACTGCAGAGCTAAGCCTGGCATGTGCCACTAGCTGCCAGGACAGGTGGTCAACTGGCATAAATAATCCCAGCATTCTGGACTCCGACGGCGCCCAACCCGCCGCATCTGTGTGGTTTCCTCTGCTGGCCCTGCCTGGCTGCCCCTTGATTCACTAAACCGTGCTGCAGTCCTGGCTTCCTCAGTTCCTGGTCGCCGACCTCCTGTCACCACAGCCTCTGTGGAGAGGGGCAACTGCACCCCTGACACACAGTCGCCTGGTGCCAGAGGGTGCCAGACGTGCCACGTGGACCGGAGCCCGGTGGGACCAGCAAGCTGGCTGGGGAGTGTGTGCCAGCGGGAGGGGAGCCCAGCAGTGAGCTGAGGCCTGAGCCCGGCTCTGCGGGGAGCCGTGACAGCCCATCGCTGTGGTTCCGAGGCATCATCAGAGCTGAAGCCACACTGACCTTGCAGAAGGTCCTGCCCGCGTCGAGGATGGCTCTGTACCCCGTGCAGCGGCACAGGTTGCCTGCAGGAAAAACCGGCGTGTCGGTCAGGGCCCGAGTGCCAGGCCCAGGCGCCACGAAAGGCAGGGCCGTCGTCCACCCCCACCGCGTGAGGTGGAGGCCACGTGCACCACGCACCCGCCAGGGCGTCCGCCAGCTGCTCCTCGGAGGGCTGCGGGTGGTTGCGGAGCAGCGCGTACAGCGACATCACCATCCCGGGCGTGCAGAAGCCGCACTGCGTGCCGTGAGTCCTGGCGATCCTCTCCTGCGAAGGCAGTCAGAAACGCAGGGTCTGCGCGGGCCAGCGGGGCCCAGCCAGCGCCTTGGGCGGCCCGTGGGCACTGAAGACAGGCCCTTCCCACCCTGCGCACCTCCCAGGGCGCGGGGTCCCCAGCAGAGCCTCGGCCTCGGGGTGGGTCGGGGCCTCTTCTGAGGACCCCAGACGCTCCGCAGAGAAGCAGCAAAGCGCACGCAAGGAGAGAGAGGAGGGCGGAACCCGGGGCCGCGCTCCCCAGCGCCTTCCGCTGCCCCAGGCTCCAGCTCCCCAGGCCCAGTGTGCCTGGCATCCTCCCACGCTCTGCCTTAGGAGAGGCAAGTCCTCTGACTGCAGCGTCTCCGAGGGGAGCTGGTCCACGCTGCCCGTGCTCCCCTGCGCTCTCTGCCAGGGCCCTGCGTGCCATGCACTCACAGCGCCTCACCTGCACGGGGTGCAGCCGTGTCCTCGTGCTCCCCACGCCTTCCACCGTGGTGACGGCCACTCCGTGCAGCGAGCAGAGGGGCGTCAGGCAGGCGTTGGCTGGGTAGTGTCTGCAGGGAGAGGCATGGTGGGCGGGCTGTGCTGGGCCCCACCGGCGGACAGGGTGCACGCTGCTGTCCGGCTCACATCCAAGAACGGGAACGGGAGGGCTGGGGTCTGCGTGACTGAGGGGGCTACGGCAGCAGGGCCTAGTGACAGCCCCTGGAGGGATGGCTCCTACCTGATCTGCCCGGTGCTGGGGTCGAAGCGCGACAGCATCACGGTGCAGGCGCCGCAGCCCCCGCTGCCACAGCCGTTCTTGGTCCCCGGGAGCCGCACTGGAGGCCTCAGTTAAAGACAATGCATGACTGAGCATGTGTGAACAAGTGTGCGTGGGTGTGAGCCTGTGTGTGTGAGCATGTGTGTGCATGAGAGAGCATTGTGGGAGCCCACTTTAGGACGGTGTGGGTATTACTGACCACGCATGTCACACAACGTGAGCCTGTGTGTACGTGTGTGAGTGTGCATGTATGAGTGTGTGTGTGCATGTGCATGTGTGAGCGTGCATGTGTGAGCATGTGTGAGCATGTGTGTGAGCATGTGAGCATGTGTGTGTGAGCATGTGTCAGCATGTGTGTCAGCATGTGTGTGTGTGAGCATGTGAGCGTGCATGTGTGAGTGTGTGTGTGTGTGTGTGTGAGAGCGTACATGCCTGTGAGCACGAGCATGTGTATCCAGTTCCTCCCCAGCGCGGCGCTGGCCTCACAGATGAACCCTTCAGGACAGCGTGGGCCGTGCTGACCACACATGTCACACTTCTCTGCCGTTCAGCACAGGCACTACTCGTGTACCCTGAGTCTGTTATCTTCTATTCTTTGGCAAGGGGAGCCCCAGACCTTAGGCCCACACGAATCCGTGGTTCCAACCAGCCGTGCTAGGAGGTGGGATTGCCGGTGACGCTGGCCAGTGGGTGTAACTGTCTGTGTCATGTGCGGCTTTCCAGGAGGGACCGGGGTGTCCCCTCAACCCAGGGCCGCTTTCCTTCAGCTGGAATTTGGACACGAGGGCAGGAGCTCATGCAGCCATGTGGAGCAGGAGGAGCAGCGAGACACAGGACTGGGGACCTGGCACTGGCTGGGCATGGCCTTCCCCACTGGCCCCGCTGGCCCTGGCATCTTCCACAGGAGTGTCACAGGGGACAGGGTGGTGGGAAGACTCCTGCACTGGAAGACACTGGCCTGGCAGCCTTGCTTCCCCTCCCGAAACCCTGCAGGGGTCACACTGTCTGTGTCCTGGAGGTCTGAGCCCGTGAAAGGGGACAAACTCGGCTGCTGCCTTTGCTCTGACTGGCGCCCTGGGCTACCTCAGGGCGCACTGTCTTGTGTCTCCGAGCGGGCGCTGAGGCTGAGAGCTTGGCATGCCTGGGGGATTCCACCTCTCGGGGACACAAGCTCACCACCTGTACCTTGCGTGCATGTTAGTGCCGTCTGCCAGCCTCCGCAAGCCCACGTGCAGCAGGCTGCGGAATGGCTCGGGTCTAATTTTCCATTTCAGGAGGTCGCTGAGCTCTCTCTAGCAGGCATGGTGACTAGCCGCTGGACGGAAGATAGATTCGTGACTCGGTGCCACAGGACGCTCAGGCCATCCTCTTAGCACACGCCGCTTAATTCCCATTGCTGGTTTTTAATTAATTCCTAGTGCAGTGCAGACGTTCGACAGACCGTGGTTCTCTTGACAGAGACAGCTGTGTGCTGCCTACAGAACCAGGCCCAGGGCTTTCTCAGAGAGGAGTGTGGACTGTGATGGTGGTCTGTGTCTCAGTGCAGCCCTCCGGGGGCATCTGAACTGACCTGGCGGGGACCGCAGCGCACATGTGCGTGCGCGCGTACACACACACGCACGCATGCAGGGCAAAGAAGGATACGGTTCCTCCTGAGGTACGGCAGCAGCATGGTTTCAGGATCCACATTTTCCTCTACCACCTACGCAGAGAGAGAAAAAGAGCGCTGTGTGCACGAGGTGGAGGGGAGTGGTCCCTGCCTTGTGGGCTGAGAGGTGTGCACACCCGGCAGCCCTGGCTCGCACTGTCTGGCCACCTCGGCTGCGTGGGGACCCACAGGTTGAGCCTCCAGCCCCTCCCCACGGTCCTCGGTGCTGAAGGCTGCCGCTCTCCCAGGCGGGCTTGCTCACTCCGCTCCTGTCCCGCTTTCAACCCCGGGGGATGGTGGGAAGCGAGGATGCTCTCAGAGCAGTGGAGGGGCAGGGCAGGACCGCGGGACAGAGGACAGCAGGAACATAGACGCAGGGGTGCCGGTGGCTCCCGGAAACAAGGCTCAGGCTCATCACACAGTTCCTTCCCAGAGGCCACCCCAGCCGGTCGGGTCACAGACACAGGACAGCGCCACATGTGTTCACGGCACTGAGCCATGCAGGGGTGGGTTAGGACTGCACTGCCCTCCGCAGGTTAAAAATGTGAGACTTCGGAGACCAAGATGTGATCCTGCCAGATACTCGAAGGCAGACACGTTTCCCACCTCAGTGTCTTGCCTACTTTCCTCTCCTTGCTGAGACAAAATCCCCCACACCCAAATTAAAGGCTGAGGGGTTTATTTAGCTCACAGTCTGTGGAGGTTTCAGTCCCTCCTCAGCTGGCTCTGAGCCAGGGTGGCGTGGTGAGGGGCAGCAGCTCAAGGCGGCAGAGGCAGTAAGAGTGTGAGGGGGAGAGCCAGGCCTTCCCTCCCTTGTGCTGCACGCAGGCTCCAGCCCTGCGTCTCCTGCCTTCCTCCTCCACAAGCCCAGGATGCTTACACAGTGGGGACCCTGCCCCTGCTGAGCCAGCTAAGCTCCTACCCTCCTCAAGCTGATGCAATGCATCCATCGACCCTTGTGGCGAGTTCTGGCCACCCTTGCGTGCAGCTGGGAGTAGTCAGAGCAGGGCAGAGCGGCTGTGCCAGCCGAGGGCCCGCGCTGAGGTGGACCCTCTGAAGAGCGGTTCCCAGCATTCCCACTTCACTGGCCCTCCAGGGCCGCCTGCCCCTTTCCTTCCCGCCCCAGGTGGTTCTCCGCCTCCTGTCCCTGAGCCCGTGTGGTTTCAGCATTCTTTCAATGAACAGCAATGGCACCGAGTTCTGCCACCCTGAGCTCAGCACACCTGCTTCCCTGTGCTCCTCGAGGACCCGCCGGCTCCAGTTGAACCCCGTGGGCACCGCCCAACATCGGTCTCTGTCCATCAGCATGGAGTCTCTGCAACCAGGAGGCCCAGGGGCCAGGCCAGAGATGCCCCGCCAAAGGGCATGCTACCCCAGGCGTGTGTGCCCCAGAGCTCCCGGGGTGCCCGCTGGCCCCAGGCTCCTCAGCCATGCACCTGTGGCAAGCTGCCTGGCCCCCACACAGGCAAGGAGAGCAGGTGGGTCTGTGTCTGGAAACCCTTCTCCTGCTCTGTGCTCCTCCTGTGCAGCATGGGCCTAGTGCCTGCACCTGGCTCCTAGCAAGCGCCTGTTCATCAGATGAACGGCCATGGGGTTTCACTGATGAGGCAACCGGGCAGAAGCAAGCAGAACACAGAGAAGCTACTAACAGCAGAAACTGCCGGCTGCCTCTCCTGCTGGCATGTGCTCCCCTGTTCCTTCCAACTGCGGAGAGTGGAGATGAAATGGCTGGAACTCCTACAGCCACCTTAGACCATGAGACAACACATCACTAGCAATGCAGGCAAAGAGAGAAGAAACCCTGCTAACACCATGAAGCGTCTTGGCCACCCTCACAATTTCTGCCCGGAAATACTTTCTGCAAGAGGAAACTGAGCCACCATGTTGGGCTTGTGCCACCACAGCTGGGTGGAATCCCACTCACATGTGGTGGCAGTGCACAGAGCCGGTGTCCCCGGGGACAAGGTCTCCGAGCAGGGTGGGGTGGGACTGGCAGGGCGCCTGTGTGCTCTGGGGAGGAAAGGTCTGCAGTTGGCAGTCTGCCGCGTGCTCCAGGGCCAGACCATGACCGGCAGTGGTGCTGGCCGGCTCACTGTCCTCTCTGAGCTGGAGCACATCCAGTGGATGAGGGGAGCAGGGCCTCACTGAACGCTGAAACCACACGGGCTCAGGGACACGAGGCTGGGGTGGGAAGGACAGGGGCAGGTTGGCCCTCGAGGGCCAGGAGCTTCCTGTCCCTGCAGCCCGGGGCACAGCGGAGCCTGGACCGAGCCTGTGGGCAGCAGAGGACAGCGCTGCTCGGGCACAAGCAGGGCCAGGCAGGGACCCTGCCCATCACTCTGCATACCCGCAGCCCTCTCTTCAAATACCAGGCCCCAAGCAGAGCAGAGCAGACACCCGGCCAGCAACCAGTGAGCGGGAAAAGGGCGCCTGGAAACACAGGTGGCAGGGTAGAGGAGGCCTTTGAACCAGGACAGCCCCACAGGGCCGCTTCCTCTGCACCGCCCCCCTCTTCCTGGCTACAGAGACGTGGAGGCCCATGCCTGTGGCCCGGCACCAGCAGACGGGAGCAGCCACATCCACAGGGCCGCTCTCTCTGGCTCAGTTTCCACCCAGCCCAGGGAATAGGCCCATCACGAGTTCAGCAATGCAGAGGGGAAACTGAGGCTTGGAGGTGCTGAGCTCCTCGCTGTGGCCCTGGAGTGCCCTGGGGCACAGCACAGGGTGGGAGTTCACGCTGGCACCCACCCTGTGGTTCACAGCCTCCATGCCCATGCTGCAGCGGGCCTCGGTGCCCTGGGCCAGCGGCTCCTCCTCCCCCAGCACCACATTGCTGGCTGAGGCCCCAGGCCTGGTGCAGCGGGTGAGATCTCAGGGTCTCTGTGGGGAGGCGCGAGACCCACTGAGAATCGGTGACCCGCACAGACCAGAGCCCGCAGCCAGCACCAGGCACTTCCAGAGAATGGGCTCCGGGAGCCCCGCTCGCCCTGCAGACTCCTGCCTCCTGGTTCACAGCCCTGGCTAAATTCAGCTGATTCCCCCCGCAGTGGCCAGCCCGGCCTCCCGGAGCAGTGGTGGACAGAACCTGGTGTGTGTGGGAAGCTGGCGTGGCTCCAGTGTGGAAAGAGCGAAAGCTGAGTCATCCTCGAGTTCACCCTGCACTGGCCCTGGACGAAGCGGCCTTCTGACAAGAGCCTGCCTCCAAATCCCCAGCACAGCCTGTGTCGCCACCGTGCTGGGAACCAGGGCAGCGCTCTGGGAAGCAGGAAGGGAGGAAGGGGAGACCGCGGGCTGCTGCACCCTGGAGCCTTTTCCTTAGATCGGGCCTCTATGCCGCAAACACTGCTTCCCAGGACTTTCATGGCTGCGCGTCCTCATGCTGTCCCCCTAGAGGCCCCAGCGTCTACCCTGTCTCCAGGACCTGTTCCTGTCCACTTCCCTGCCCTGGCTGGGCCCTTACACCAGCTCTTGTCCCCTCTCAGCTATCTACCGCCTGTCATCGCCCTGCACACACGGGGCCTGCTTTGTGCCTGGACATGGCAGGTTCTTCCTGAGGACCCAGAGCCGCAGTCCCGAGGGACTCTGGGACCGCCCGCAGCATGGCCTGGTTTAGCCAGCAGTCACAGTAGCCCGTGCCCCCTGTGACAGGGACAACAGGCCATGCAGCTAGAAGCCCTGCCTCAGTTTCCCCTTCAAAGGACGTCAGTGTGTGCTGCCACCTGGGTCCAGCAGGGTGAGAACAGCGTGTGTGGGTTGTGAGGTGCCTGGTCCTGTGGCCAGGACACAAGGGTGGCCCTGACCCCAACCGCAGGTCCTGTCCCACACTGTCCTAGCTTGAGGGTCCCCAGGGCTGCCTCGGTGTCCCTGCTCACCCTGCGACCGTTCACACAGAAGTGCAGTGTGCTTGGCTCCAGCTCCATGTGGCTTGGCGTTGGCAGCTCCACAGTGTGGACGTAGCCGGGTGTGGACCCTAAGTGTTTTGTAGTCAGGCCCCGCCCCTCTGGTGACGCTGCGGAGCTCGGGACGGCCCTCCCCCACAACCCCACGTGGTGTCCCCCCCCTCCGTGTTGACCCCGGGTCCACAGTACCATCTTAGGCGGAGGGAGGCACCCACTGCTGGCTGAGTAAGCAGCGTGCGTGCATTGTGTGTGCGTGTGTGTGTGTGCGCACGTGGGTGTGCCGTGGGCACCCCTGCCCAAGGGTTTCCACTGGATTGAGACCAGCTGGATCTCATCCAGATTGCAGCTGGATCCCTTTCGGGCAGGCGGGGCTCCCTGGCTTCCTCTGCACACTTAACCTCAGAAACTCCAAGGGGCTGAAACACTCATTTTCCAAACTTCTCGCTTAGCACAGCTAGAAAGCCTTCCCGCACCATTTATTGATCTAAACACAAACTTGAAGGTGGAACTGTCCAAAGCATGTCTGTAAAGGAGAACAGAACGAGGATTCCGGCCCCTCGAGTGCCCCTTGCTGCCCAGCTGAGGGCGGATCATCCCGGGCCTCCCTCTGCGACAAACCTTGCACACACACACGTGCAAGGAAATGCAAGCACACACAGGAATGACCTGTTCAGACACGACACCGTCACCGAGGTCTACAACAAGTCCTCACATTCGCCACTCCAGTCCCACTCAGTTGCTAGCTTCCTGCACTCTTGCTTGCTGACAACCAAACGCCCAGGCCCCGCTCCTCTCCATCCTGGCCCAGGCTGGGAAGCAGGAAGCAGCCTTCCCAGGAGGGTGTCCTTCCTTGGGTGGGGATGGTATTCAGAAACCACATCCTGGAAACCTGGCTGTTGCTGGCAGCAAGCTGTCGTTGTTTCTAGGCATTTTCGGGGGTAGATGTGCCTGTTGGTCATCTTGATTGGGTGGAAACAGTTGGAGAGGCGAGTTGGAGGAGGATTCAGATGTCCCCAGGGCCACCTCTGAAAGGGGCATCTTTAGCTAGCACTCTTCCCAGCTCTGCTTCTGGGCCACCGTGGACTCAGCAGACTTCTCCACACCCTTCCGCATGAGGACCTTGTCTGAGCCAGTGGGCCAGCGCGTGTCCCTGACACCATAAGCCAAGCAGGACTCTCCTCCTTATACTGTGGGTGTCAGGCATTTTGTCCCAATGATGGGAAAGGGACTAATTCAACTGAACTAGGAAAAAAAAAATTTGTAAAGAGGGAAACAGAGGGCCAGTGAGATAGCTCAGCAGACTAAGCACCTGCTTAGGCAACGGTTCGATCCCAGGCACCACATGCCACACCAGCCCCACTCCTGGGCGTGCTGAGCTGGCCATTAAGACTGGGTGTGCTGGCGCACGCCTGTAATCCCAGTGCTGGGAAGGCTGAAACAGGAGGATCACTATGAGTCCGAGCTGTATAGTGAAACCCTATACCAAATACATAAAATAAAAGATGAAAAAGCGTACGTTCACAAGGATATTTCTAATAAAAACAGTCTGGAGAGGTTTTCTGAAACTCCTGCATCCCGTGTGACTTGCATTTGGTCTGTCCCCACCCCCACTGGTGTTATAGTGCAGCAGGGAGGCCGCCAGGCCCTGGTGAGCGGCACTGCGTGCCATCCCAGCCTCCTTCATTCCAGCTCTGACTGGGCTCGCTGTTGGGTGCTGTGTCCAGCGATGGGAAAGGGAGAGAATGCCAGAGAAGTGGGTCCCTGCTGTGCCTGACCCCGAGGCCCAAAGAAGTCTCAGAAGCTGCTCGCCAGGAGGAGCTTGGGAAGGCCTGGCGACGGGGGCTGAGAGCCCTGGGGCTCTGTGCGCAAAGCCTGGCAGCACGTCTGGCGAGGTGCAGAAGACCAGAACGCTGATCAGAATGCGGGCAGTGAAGCCCAGCAGGGGCAAGGAGACTGTCACAGAAAACCCCCCGCTCTGCTTCCTGGCCACGAGAGCTCCGCGTCTTTTCTCTGCCATATCCTCTGCCATGACAGTCTGCCTTGGAGCAAGTGACCGAGTCCTTTGAAACTTAAGCCAAACAAAGTTTACGCCGTGCATGTCATATAGCGTCCCAGCTGTGGGAATTAGAGCCCCAGCTAGTACAGGTGCTGACAGGAAATCCAGGTGAACCAAGCACAGGTTTTCAAATTCCTGGTTCCCTTTCTGCTTCTCCATGTCCTTCTAGTGCCCCCTACTGGCAGAAGTGAAAAAGTAGTCAGCTCCAGAGAAGGAATGTGATTTGAGCCCAGCATCCCACAGCAAGGGACAAAGCTGGGCTTGGAGTTGAGACAGTCCTGCAGATCACTGCCTCGATGCATGCACAACAAGCCGGAGCACCTCGGCGCTGAGTCCTAAGTGCTCGCAGCCTCGACTCCAGCCCCCACTTCTCTCTTGCTCCAGAGCGAGCCCTGCAAGGCCCTCGCAGGCTCCTCCCATCCCTAGCATGAGTTGGCAGAGGCCGCAGAAGCGGAAGGGAGAGCTGGGCTAGGTCGTAATAAAATCTAGCAACGCCAAAAGGCAGCTGATGAAATCCAAGACCTGTTCTTTTTTCAAAAAAAGCACTCAATTTGTTTTATTTTAATGTGGCTATAACTATGCAGCCCATAAACCACCTCCTTCCTTGATGGGGTGAAGGCAGGCATGGGAATCAGGAGCAAGGCAAAGGTGCCCACGAGCTCTCCAAGGGCGCACGCAGCCGTGCAATCCGACAAGAAAAAGCAACAAGCAGGGTAAGCATTAGGGAAAAGGGTAGGAGAAAAGCACTGAAGTGATGAACTAAAAAGTACTAGTGAGCAGAGGACTCAGTCATTGTCATCACACATGCGAAGAGCAGTCAGAGGGGGAGGAATGGAGATTCCTTATTCACACTATCCAGAAAAAGATTAGACACCTAAGCCAGCGTGTATCGAGAGTGTAAAACCTGTATGAAGAAAGCTTGGAAACTCTCCCAGTCTCTACAATTTAAAGACCAGGGTAGGGCTGGCGAGACAGCTCAGTGGACTAAGTGCCTGCTTAGGCAAACACAGGGACGGGGGTTCGACCGCTGAACCACAGAGTGCACCAGTCCTTCTCCCAGGCATGCTGAGCTGGCCACCAAGAAAGGCCATCGTGGCGCACACCTGTAATCCTAGTGCTGGGGAGGCTGAAAACGGGAGGACCGCTGCGAGTCTGAGCTGCGTAGTGAGACACTGTACCAAATACATAAAAAAAAATTAAAAATGAAGCCCAGGGTAGAGGTTATTAGAAACACAGATTAGAAGATGAAAGATCACAGAATAAATGTAAGTGCCTGCAGAATACTACAATGGTCACTTGAAGTCAGTAGTGGACAGTGTGGGCTTTTGAACTAATGGGGAATCACTTGGAAAAGATAAACCCTACATCCACACTTCATACCACGTATTAGGGTAAACTCCATGAGTCAGGAAGTTTTATAATCTTCTATCATTTGGCTTTTTTTTTGAGACAGGGTCTTGCTGTACAGTTCAGTTTGCTCCTGAACTAACTAGAGTCCAGGCTGGTCTTGAATTCATGGCAAACCTCCTGCCTCAGCCTCCCAAGTGCTGAGGTTGTACGTGCACACCACCATACCTGGTAGAGTCAGGAAGTTAAATGTAAGAGAAAAATAAAACCACGGGTACTTTTATAACTTAGAAGTAGAAAATTCATACTGTGAACAAATTCTACCAATAGTAAAAGGCTGCTATTCTGTATCTATATGAAATAAACAATTTGCCTGGGAAAAGAAAAAAATGTTTCACAAAAAGAAAACAGAAATTAAGGGTAAGAACACAATGTGACACCAGAGTGAGTTGGGGAGGCCTAGTCTTAAGAAGAAACAGAGCCCATGGACACTGAGCCCCGGAACCCGGGCGGAGGACACCGAGCCCCGGAGCCCAAGCAGAGGAGACTGCTGCCCTGCAGAGCTCGAGCTTCGCAGGCTCATGTGGTGGGGCTGTGAAATGTCCTCTTTATCACTGTAACGTCTGGGGCCATCTCCCACAGGATTCCAGGGTCCTGGGAAGATGGCCACGGGATTGCCGGAGGCCCTGGCCCTCCCCTGGGAGGCAGAACAGAGCTGACCAGTCGGAATGAAAGCAGTCAACTCGAGCTGACTCAGCACTTACTGCTGGCCAGAGTCGTAGAGGCCAAAGGGTCACAGTGAAGCACTGGTCTCCAGGCCCCTCCTGGGGCAGCCAGGAACTGGCAGTCCATGCAGAAGGAGTGGGGAGACCCCACAGTGCAGCGCCACACAGCTTTCCCGTGCTCACGTGCAGCAAGCAGGCCAAAGGCAAAGCAAAACACGACAGCGTTGCATATGACACAGCCACTGCGAAAGTATTTATTCATACGCTTGGTTAAAAGGGTGATAGCACTTGTTTGGTTGAAGGGTGTTAGAAAGAGAGGAGCTTAAACAAGCAAGAAAGAAGTTATATGACCAGGACTATTTTACAAGCTTAATACTACAAAAATAGCTATTTTATGTACATATATCTAAATACAGGAACAACCAAATCAACACCCAAGAAAAGGCTGAAGGGGAAAAAGAACTTCCACGTGTGCCACCTTGGTGATCCCACATGTATTTCTGTTCTGACTTCTTGTGGCTTGAGAATTCACAAAAGCTAGAGTCAGTCTTCACATCATCTTCGCATCTTTCTGGAAAATAGGAAAAAAACGAAGCTTACCAATAAAAACAGACCCAGACTGCGGTGGGGTACACAGAAGAAAACTCTCCTCATCCCGCGGCAAGGGAGGCTTGGAAATACCACCAGCAGAATTAACAACGGGAGAAAGGCCATCCAGGCAGGGTTTCCAGTCACCACACGGCCACACAGGTTTCCTTTTCCTACAGTCTCTAGCACGCAAACTGCAACCATACGTGGCAGTGACACTGGTGGCCGCTCCCAGGAGCTGCTGCAGCGTGCCAACGTGGCCAGCCCTTCGAACTTCCCGCTCTGTGCACACGGCAGCACTGTCAGGGACGGTACCGCCGGGCCTTTCCTGGCTCCTCTTCATGCCTGCCTCTGCAGGACCGCGCACACTGCTCCCCCATCATTCTTCTGTCCACGGTCTCTGCTGCTCCGCAGTACCGGTGCCGCTGGCCCACGGATTCTGTGCTGGACACGGCTCGGGTGGCCTGTGCTGTCCAGATGTGAGGAATTCCCGCTGCACGTGCACGGGGCTGCCAGTGGCTGAGCCTTCTTGGGGTCACTTCCCCCACTAGGGCCACTTTCTGGCTGGAGGGCACCACATGGCCCACTTCCTCCTGGCCACACCCTGGCCCAGTGCCCAGGACACACCCTCCTCTGAGCTCTGCTTCCTTCCTTCCGCTAAGAGCAGCACAGCACTTTTGTTTTTAATATCGTGCCCAGTCACCTTATTTTCTGAGACAGTCAACATGTCCGTTTGGCACATGAAGTGTTTCCCTCCTTACATTAGAACAAAAGGCCCAAGTTTGGGTCCCATGGAAATTCAGCACCTGGCAGGTGGGCGCCACCAGTCTCTGGGATAAAAATGCATTTTAAGTAAGTGGTGTTGAGGGCTGGCTAGATGGTTCAGTGGATTAAAGAGCCTTAGGCAGACGCAGGGGCTGGGAGTTTGATCCCTAGTCTGCTGGTCCCTGGTGTGCCCTGCTGGTCCTGCCCCCAGGGCACACTGAGACATAGCTGGGACTGGGTGTGGTGGCGTGTGCCTGTAATCCCAGCCCTTGGGAGGCTAAAAAACAGGAAGGATCATGAGTCCAATCTATGTAGTGAGGATCTTTTTTTTTTGGAGGAACTGGGTATTGAACTCAGACCCTTGCGTTTGCCAGGGAAGTGCTTATTCTACTGAGCCATCTCCCTGGCCCCACAGATCTGTGTAGTGAGACCCTGCACTAAATACATTAAAAAGAAAAATAATAAGTAAGTGGTGTTGGAATGAGTAGGTAGCTATTTGGGAAAAGGATAAAATTTAATCCATGTTCCACACACAAAGGAACTCTGTACCCTTGACCAAGGTATGTATAAATAAAAGGGTCACCTCAAAATTTATAAGAGAAAAGGCTGACAAATTTGATTATAAAAAAATGAAGTTTTTTGGGCCGGCCAGATAGCTCAGTAGACTAAAGCGCCTGCTTAGGCAGACAGGTTTGATCCCCAGCCTGCTGTGCTGGCCCTGCCCCCAGGCACGCTGAGCCAGTGACAGACTGAGCGTGGCGGTGTGAGCCTGTAATCCTAGTGCACGGGAGGCTGAAAACAGGAGGATCACTACAGGTCCGATCTGTGTAGTGAGACCCTGCATCAAATACATTAAAAAAAAAAAAAGTAAAGTTTTTACATGATTAAAGACATAAAGTCAAAAGACAACATATACCTCAAAGGTGGATTATCCCTAATAAGAAAGGAATGCTTGCTGTTGATGAAGAAAGGATCAAACTCAAAATGGAAAACTAGAGACCATGAAGAGACGCCACACTGACCTCAAAGGCCCCAAGCCCCTGAGAACTGCATCTAATTCAGCCATACACCTGCAGACTGCCTAGGCCAGCACACTGCGGCCAGGCCGAGCAGGCAGGGACAAGCGGAACACAGCCAGAGCAGCTGCATGGGTGATCACTGTAGGTGTGGGCCAAAACCGAACAGATCTACAACTGTTCCACAGGTGGCCAGCCCAGGTTACCACGGCTGGGGGCAGGGAACACAGGAAGCTAAAGTGGCACCGTCCTGTTCCCACAGGGTGATGCACCCCATTTCCCAGCTGTCCTCGAGAGGACCCTCTTACAGCACCACCTGGGGTGGGCCAACTCCAGTGAGACCCCCTATCCCCACTCCAGTTACATAGTCACCTCGTGACCTTGGGGAGGTGCCATGGCATGGTCCAGGCGTGGCCAGGACCCCTGCTCTTCCACCTCTCCACATCGGGAGGTAAGGAAGGGACTCGCCGGGAGGCAGCCAAGTCCTCCCACCTGTGCCCAGGGAGAAAGTCCTCCACGCCCTTCCAGGAGCCTGCAGCTCTGAGATCTGGAGATGGCGACGTGTGCAGTTCTCGCCAATGGGTGAGGGGGCGCTGCCGCACAGTGGCAGGCTGCTGGGGCAACTCTGCACAGGGGGGAGCACACTGGTGCCTCTGAACAGACTATCTGTCCTGAGGGAAATGGGCTTCCTGATGAAGCCCCCAGCTCCAAAGCTGGAAACCACAACAGCCTAGGCCACGCTGCACATCGGAAAACAAGGAGTGCTCAAAAGATTGTGAAAGCTGGGCACGGCGGTGCACGCCTGTAATCCCAGCACTCAGGAGGCTGGGGCAGGAGGACTGCTGTGAGTCCTTGGATTTCAAAGTGAGCTCAATGCCAGCCCGAACCTCATAGTGAAAACCTGCTTCAAAAAAAAAAAGGGCTTGGGGTGATGGCTCAGTAGAATAAGCGCTTCCCTGACAAACACAAGGGCCTGAGTTCAATCCCCAGTTCCGCCAAAAAAAAAGAAGAGAGAAAGGGAAAATGATGTGGAGTCTTATTCTGGCCCTCGGACGAAATGCTGAATTATGGTGGTCATCCCACATGCTGCTGCCTGCAAACTACAGCTTATCTTCCAGAGAGCACCTCCCCGCTTCTGCTCCAGTCCAGCCCAGGGTGTAATTTCCTGCCACCTTTCCCACTGCTAAGAGACCCCAATCAGCTCTTCAAGCGTTCCTAAACATCCCCCTGAAACTCCATCCCTAGCAAAAGTCCAGACAAGGCTCAACTCTCTGCCTCAGCCCAGAGAATCTGCCCCATCTGCCCTGGATGCTTCCGTTCTTTGGAGTTAATAAAGGCTTTTTGTATCTTTTCTATCTCTTTACTGCGTCGCCCCAAAAAACCTGACAGGTTTCTCCTTTGTCCCCAACCTGTGACAGCCCCTCACTGCTTCCTGTCCCTGCCCTGGACCTTGGAACCTTCATTCACTGTGATGGGAAACTGCAACAAGCAGCAGCAGCAGTGGCAGCTTTGGAAAATGCTCCGCAGCTCGGCAGCGCCGATGCGGCGGTTCCTGTGCAGCTCACTCCTGTGCACTGTGGGGGGAAGCGGCAGCAGGCCCACAAGTTTGCATTCCAGCACAGCTCATGGCAGCGAACCCACCAGATCAACAGGAGGGCGAGGTATGGTCACAGGCGGGGCCTGTGCAGCCAGGAAGGGGGCAAATCGCTGGTCCTGAGTGGTCCAAAGCCAGTGAGAACTGGGCAGCACACTGCACTGCTAACAAGGTCCAGGCAAAGACCCTAACTGTGCAGCCCTGTCCTTAAGGGGCAGAATGTACAAGGAGGGCCACCGAAAGGGACAGGAAGGGGAGGGGCTGCAGTAGGGGCCGGGCTCACAGCTGCTCAGGCTGAGACCCCTCTAGGGCCCTCTTGGATGGAAGAAGCCTCACCCTGGCGGTGGCTAGAGTCTACTAAAATCAGGGTTAACAATTCAGTGGGTGGGGCGGGGGTAGGTGTAGCATATTCACAAGGGGAGATGCATTTGATATCTCAGTAAAGCTATTTACATTAAAAAAAAAACTTTTATGTATCTATTTATTTGGCACAGGGTCTCACTATGCAGCCCAGACTTTAGTGATCTTCCTCTCTCAGCCTCTCCAGCACTGGGATTACAGGTGTGCACCACCATGCCAGTTTCAGGGCTGGCAGAGTGCATGAAATGGCCAGGGTTCTGGGGCTGACATGGCACGAGGTACCAGGGATTGAACCTGGGTCCTTGTGCTTGCCAGGCAGGTGCTCAGACCACCAAGCTATCTCCCCAGCCCCAGTAAAACTATTCTTTAAAAAGACCCTAGTGCTTCACTTTCTTTTTCTACCCAGCCCCTACTACTGCCATCTGCTGGCTCTGCTGAGGACTGCACCTTTGCACAGAGGAAGTGCAGGGCTTTCTCTGCCTAACAACAGATACCCCAAGAATGCAGGGGCCTCAGAAACACTTAACCAGACCAGGATCTGCACACACATTTTTTTAATAATTAGTGACATCTGACATCAGGAATTACTTTTAAATTTTCTACATGTGATCATTCTTATCTAGTTTTGTTAAGAACTTTGTTAAGAGACTCATTTTTTAAGAGTTACACAGAGAAGGGTTTTAGGAATCAAATGACTCAGTATTGAGGATTTGCTTTAAAAAATACAATTAAGAGAGTCAGCTAGATAGCTCAGCAGACTAAAGTGCCTGCTTAGGTGGAGCGCAGCGGCCTGGGTTTGATCACTGGTCTGCAGTGCCAGCCCTGCCCCCGGGGTACACTGAGCCAGGGATTGAGACTGGGCATGGTAGCACCCCTGTAATCTTAGCACTTGGGAGGCTGAAAACAGGAGAATCACTATGAGTCCAATCTACATAGTGAGACCCTGTATCAAATAAAACAACAACAACAACAACAAAAAAAAAAAAACCACAAGGAAGGACCAGGGAGGTAGCTCAGCAGCGTAAGTGCATATCTGCCAAGTACAAGGTCCTGGGTTCAATCCCTAGCACCACAAAAAAATAAAAAAAACCCTCTAGTGAGAGAAGTGTGTTAAAAAACAGACAAATAAACAAATAACCCCCCCCCTCCCGAAAGCCCTACTAAATCTGGGCACAGGGCCAGCCAGATAGCTCAGCAGCCTAGGCACAGGTACCAGGTTTGTTTCTGGCCTGTGCAGGGGACAGGGCTCAGCGGTCTGTCTAAGGGCTTGCCTGCCAAGTGCAAGGGCCAGGATTCAATCCCCAGTAACACGTGCCTGGCTGCCCCTATGCAGAGCCAGCCACTGAAACTTGATGCCTGCCCTGCCCTGGGGCACATTGAGATTGGGACTGAGATTGGGTGTGCTGGGGTGCACCTGTAATCCCAGCACTGGAGAAGCTGAAAATAGGAGGATCACTATGAGTCCAATACATACATTAAAAAAAAAAAAAAAATCTGGGCACAGTGGTACATTGCCTATAATCCCAGCACTCTGCAAGGCTAAGGTAGGAGGATCACAAGCTCAGACTGGTCTATTTGGCAAGATATTGTCTTAATAAATAAATAATAATGATGACAATGATAAAAGACGGGTATATAGCTCACTGTGAAGGGCCCAGATTCAATCCTCAGAATGGGAAAACAAAACAAAACAAAAGAAGAAGCAAATATGACAAAATGCTGATACTGGCTGGGCCTGATACCCACAGGGTTCTGTGCATAAGGAAGGGGACAAATAAAGAAACAAAATAAACAATAGACAAAACTAGAGTGACATAAAGAACCAGGGGCTTTTTAAAATTTAGCTTTACTGAGTCATCAACACATCTCCCTCTGCGATCTCCACTAGTGTTTACCCTGGACATTTGTGGACTCCAGCCCCTGCCAGGGTGAAGACACTTCTTCCCCTCTGACAGGGGTCCTGAGCCTTAGATTGGGCTGGTTTTTAAAAATAAACAAAGACTATTATTCTTTGAAAACAAAGACAAAAAAGAAGTGGGGGAGGGGGGCTGGGGCAATGGCTCAGCAGAATAAGCGCTTCCCTGGCCAGTGCAAGGGTCTGAGTTCAATCCCCAGTTCTGCCCAAAAAACAAAACAGAACAGAACAAAAACGAAGCAAAGACTATAGATACCACAATAACTCCCAGGGAACAGGTGGGAAACAAGTAATGTGGATAAGAAAATCCCAGAGGCCACATAAAGGTCATGATTATCAGACTGCAGAAGTGACCATGGCGGGGCCAGGGAGACAGCTCAGTACAGTAAGTGCTGGCCGGCTTAAGCCCAGCCCCCCGCTGGCGCACAGAACCCTGGTCTGTGCTGCGCCGCCCCACGCTTGCCTTTTGAGACTGGGCTCTTTCAGACTGACTGGTGTGCACCGCCGTCTTTTGCTCGGTGGCTGGGAAGCTCCTTCTCTTGACTCACTCTCAGACTTTGCAGTGTTACTTGAAAAGAAGTCAGTGTTTGTCAAGTCCTGCAGTGTTCTGTCACCTGCAAAGAACAATTCCACAGATACTTGTCAATAGGTCTGAGTAGTAACACCAGTCACTGGCAGCAATTTTTAAAATAGGCTTAACACTGGAAAGGAACCATCACAGAAGCCTGCAGTATTTTTATTCAAATTATACCAGCTTGGGGCCAGGGAGATGGCTCAGTAGAATAAGTGCTTGCCTGGCAAGCGCAAGGGTCTGAGTTCAATCCCCGGTTCCGCAAAAAAAAAAAAAAAAAATCATACCAGCTCACAAAAATTCTTGTGAATTTCTGCACTGTGGGGAGGATCCTAGCACTTAGAGCAGACACAGAAATGCTCGTTCCACATAGAAACATGAGAATTGGTAGGGAAGCGTCTAATATTAGAATATGTTACAAAACCTCTTGGCCAAGACAAAAGCAAACAAAAGCAAAAAATATTCTTAGGATTTGAAAGAAAAGAAGTGGGTGAGTAACATTACAGAACAGGATTTCAAGAGAGTCTGCACACGGGAAACGGCCATGCTCTTCCTGGAGATTTCTGTACTCCTGCTTTTTTCTGGTTCCCTACTTCGGCTTTTCTGCAGTATTATTTGAATAACGGGAGTAAATAAGAAGTAAACACTGGGCCGGTCAGGCAGTTCAGCAAACTAAAGTGCCTGTTTAAGCAGGGCACAGCTGCTGAGGTTCGATCCAGGACCTGCTGTGCTGGCCCAGCCCCAGGGGGTGCTGAGCCCTTGACTGAGACAGGAACTGTGGTCAAGACTGGGCGTGGTGGCACACGCCTGAAATCCCAGTGCTTGGGAGGCTGGAAACAGGAGGATGATTACGAGTCCAATCTGCATGGTGATACCCTGTAGACCCTGTACTAAATACATAAAAAGAATAAAAAAAGTAAACACCAATAGTAAGTCTTCCCTGTCGCTCAGGGCTACAATGTTTTCTTCCAGTGAGTTCTACAAACCCTGCACGCTCACTTCACCACTTTCCTTGCTCCTTCACACACTACCTGGAAGGGCTGGCCTGTCCTTCCCTCTACACCCCGAGTAAAGGGCTCTGACCATACTACATAAGGCTGCACTTTAAGGAGCCTGCAACTCTCTGGTAAAGTAAGACAGGGGTAGCTCATTACGCACATGTAAAACACTCAGCTTCCTTCCAAAACATGAAAAGGAATTTCCCTGACAGCTTTGTGGTCACTGCCAACCCACTGTGTGGGTTCTGAGTGCCAAGACTCACCACTGTCTTCCTTTAACTCCTGTGTAGCTCATGCTACACACACACACACACACACACACACACACACACACACACACTCAGGCCAACCCTACCAGGAAGAACATAACTGGCGGAGGGACTGCCTACCTGTTGCTGGCTTCTTCTGTGCTCTCTGGCCCACACTGGCTCGTACCTCCTTCATCTTCTCATGCTCGTCACTGCAGCCCCGACAGCTGAGTGACTGCGTAGGGACAGAGAGGTCTCTGATGGCCAGGAATTTACTAGAAGAAACACTCACAGGCACTGAACCCTCATGGACACCATCAGAGGAAGAACACTGCATATCAGGGGAATGTATCTGAGAGAAAGATTGAAATGCCTTCGTGTAGAAGTCCAGCTCACTGCCAAAAGACCTCCCACTCTCGCCCCAGTTTTCCTGGTCCACGTGCTCACAGCCAGCAGGCCTCCGGGGAGCAGCACTCGGCACAAGGGCCGCGGCTCCCTTGGAGCGACGAGGAAGCGCTGTGGAGGTTGTCCTCCGATTCACTCTGGGTATCACCCTGGTCACCTCCGTGGCCTGGCACTGCCCAGCTTTCTTCGCCTCCACCCAGGAAGCGTGGCTGTTTGTGTCTGGAGTTACAGAGACTGGTCTCTGAAGCCCGGGATGTGCAACTGGCCCTCCAGTGGCAGAGTCAGGCCCACTGCTGACGCATGCCATGCCAGCCTCCGAGGTGGCAGGTGCCTGTGATGAATCTGCAGGCGGCAAGGCCAACCTGCTATGATCTCTTGTCAGAATGTTCTTTGCCTTGCCTGACGACTTTCTTCTATGCTTTTTAACTAGTTTAGATGGATCTGGAGCTATATCACTGTTGATCTCCATATAGTATTCACCTATAAGTGTTTTTTGATCGAATCTTCTTTTAGATCTAACGATTTTAAGATCGAGATCTTCTGAGTAGTTTTTTTGGCCATGTACCTCATTATCAATATCCTCATATATCTGGATCACTTTAGAAATTATTTCTGTCTTCCGATTTACTTTCTGTCTAAGCTTATTTGTTTTTGATTCCTTCTGCTGAGGAAGCTGCACACTGGTGACACAGTTTTTCTGGGTCTCATAGTTGTACAAATTTTCATGATCTTTGGTGGGAAAATCAACTGTATGAAACTCAAGTGTGACCTCTGGGCTTTTAGAAATGGGTTCAGCATCCTTGTGGATTAGAGAAGCAACATTACTTTTTTCCAGGGCTTGCAGGCCGTGGCCCTGGGTAAGCTCAGAGATTTCTGTACTTTGATAGCTCTTTCCTCCAAGTCTCCCTGTGTTGGGATCATTCCGACATGCAGCTAGCACACCACAGATCTGCTTCCTCACAGTCGAAGCAGTCTCAGCTTCGCACTTACACAGCTCGCTGTCCTGGGGAGGAAGACCAGGGGCCTGAAACTCACTCAGGTCTTTTGCATCTGCAGCGAGGACTTCCTTCTCCTTCTGGGGGAAGAGCAAATTACCTTTTTCTGAGCAACTGCCACTTTTATTATCATCAAAATGATTTGTTTCAGAAATTATCTCTGTCTTCCGATTTACTTTCTGCCTAAACTTATTAATTTTGGACTCATTTTGCTGAACAGGGTACGCAGGAATGATTGGCTTCTGCAAATTGAATGAGTTCCAGGTCTCACGGGCACACAGGCCTCCGTGATTGCTCAGGAAAGGACTGGGCCTGTGAAGGTCTTCTGAGACGCCCAGGTTTCCAGAGGCGGTCTCTTTATCCACGTGGAAGAAACCATTCCTCTGCTGGGGGGTGTGCACATGTTTACTGTTGTCCTCACACCACTGGTTTACTTGAGAAATTATTTCTGTCCTTCTGCTTACTTTCTGCTTAAGCTTGACTTCTGACTGACTGGCAGGCTGCCTATCAGAGACACGCTTGTTTAACAGATTCTGGATCTCATAGGCATATACATTTTCATTTTCTTTGGAGGAAAGATCAGCTGCCTGAAATTCCTGTGCTACTTCCAGGTTTTCAGAAATGGTTTCTTTATCATCTCGGTTTGAGAATAAGGGATCTTTTTCTATCTTCCGAATCACGCATGTCTGTCTGGAAGCTTTACTTCTACTGCCTGCTTTTGAGTTCTGGGGCTTACGCATGCCTCCCTCTCGCAGGGCCCCACCTGCACTGGGGGAGGGAGGGGATGCTGTCCCCTGCGTGCTGGCCTCGCATCCTTTCTCCTGTCTGCTGCACTGGGCACTGTGTCTGCCCTCTGCACCAGAGCCACGATGAAGGGTTGTTTTCCTCCGCAGATTTGATGGAGACGGCTGTGCAGTACTGACGATGAAATCAGGGTCTCCCGAGTCCCCGCTGCAGCCGCTGCACGCAGAGCGTCCCTGCGGCCCACTCTCAGCCTGCCCCTCGGCGTGCATGCCTGCACTAAGTTTACATTTTCTCTGTGGCCCTTCTCTCTTTGCCTCAGAGCTCTGGTCTCTTGCCTTCCTGGAAGCCTTGCCCTCACAGTCGTTCATCTTTTTATTGCTCTTAGGCCTGCCGCCTCGGGTAACGGTGACAATTGTGCTCACATCGGTGGCTGTCAGCTCCATGTCCGCTCCATACACGGTTGCTTGCTCCTGGGGGTCCTCACCCTCCTGCATGTGCCCTGCGCTGTCTGTGCCGGGCTTCCTGGAAGGTGCAGGGGGGCTCTTGAGGCCAGCGAGGCCTGGCGGATTTCTGGGCACTGTGATGCTCTTCTCAGTAGCAGCAGCAGTAGCGCAGCCCTCCGTCTCCATGTTCCTGCCCGATGCGGGACTCAGACTCTGCTGTGGCCCCGAGGCTGCCGCTGAGGGTGCATCCACAGGAAGGTCCTCTGAGGCCCAGCACAACCCACGCTTCTTCCTGGCAGTCACATTACTAAGGGACAGCTTCTCCCTCTCATCGCTGCTGCACAGGCCACTGGTCATCTCGCTCACCACAGCACGCTGGGAACGTCGGTCTAAGTGGGGCTCTGTGAAGTGAAAGAAATACAAAATTCAGAAATAAGTAAAGAAATACGAAGGAGGCTATTTTATTAATTAAAAAAATCTTTCTGGCTAGTGTAGTGGTACACATCTGTAATGTCAGCAACTGGGAGGCTGAGGCAGGTAAATTTTTAAAGAGTTTTTTGGCTTTTGAGACAGGGTCCTGCTGTGCAGCCCAGGCCAACCCTGAATTTGCTATGTGCCCCAGAGTGGACATCGAGCTCACCATCTTCTCAGTGCAGCCCACTCAGTGCTAACATTGTATGTGTGCGCCACCATAGCTGGCTAACAAATTACTGCTTGGGCTCTTATACTACTGAGAATCTCTCTACGCAGAGAGAAGTGACCAAAAATGTGACTTAGCAACGATTCCCAAGTCACAGCTGGGGGGAGATAGCTCAGTAGACTAAGTGCTTGCATGGCAAGCGCAGGGTTCTGAGTTCAATCCCCAGTACCACAAAAAGAAAAAACAACCCGCACTTTTGAGGGGGCGGGGAGACAGCTCAATAGAATAAGCGCTTGCCTAGCAAGCTCAAGGGCCTGAGTTGAATCCCCGGTTCTGCAGGGGGGAAAAAAGCCATAAAACTATGGTAAGTTTTGGGGGAACTACCCACTCGGGCCCCTTCCTGTCCCTCTCTTGGACAGGAGCTTTCTTTCTCTCAATAAATATATTCTGCTCATAAAAAAAAAACAACCAAGTCACGGTTGGCATGTGACTCTAGGGGAAACACTGCGGAGAGGTGGCCCACCCCAACAGTGGAGATGCTGAGTGCAATCGCATCTGTGGCCAGACAGAAGGCAGCAAATAAGCCAGCCATGGCACCAGTGTGGGTGTCAGTAAAAAGCCCAGGCCGCTTCTTCCTGGTGAGGGAGGAAAAGCGACTCTGCTAAGTTGGGCTCCACAGCCACTCCTAGCAGCACACAGAAGCAAGAGGCAAGCCTAACAGTTCTCAGTCCTGACTGGGCCAACCTTTGGCTTTACCATGAAAAGTTCGTATTTCTTTTTTTTTTTTTGGCGGAACCGGGGATTGAACTCAGGCCCTTGGTGCTTGCCAGGGAAGCGCTTATTCCACTGAGCCGTCTCCCCATATTTCTGAAAAAGTCACTATACCTCCTTATGGAACCAGTTTTCCGGTCTATAGGAAGGAAAGGCGAGACACCAAGCACACATTGGGCATCTCTCAAGCCTCACACTAGGAAACCAAGCGAACCTTCTCAGCCCACTCCTCCCTCAGCCCCGCCAGCCCTGTGAGCAAGGGCACACGACCAGCCCCTGGGCAGGGCTTGCCCTTTTTTCCTTTTGTGGTACTAGAGTTGAACTCAGGGACTTCCCCCTGAATATGGCCCAGCACTTATTTCCAGCTTTTATTCTGAGGCCGGGTCTGGCTAAGCTGCGTGGGCTGGGCTCGGAGCAGTGACCCAGCTCAGACTGCAGATGTGTGCTGCCACGCCGCGCTTGCATGTATGCTTTATAGTCAATTTCAAGTTTTACAAGTAGTTTGAAATGATGGAAGCCAGCAAGTCTGTAATCTAACAGATCCAACTCACTAACTGTTTATATATATACATATCTCAACAAGACACTTGCAGTGAAACTAACACTGACACTCAAAACGAATTTTTAAAATAGTCTCTCACCTTTGGGAGGTGCAGGGACACTAGAAACATGTTCCGCACCACCCGGACCACACAGACTCCAATCATTTTCCGTAAGAAGTAGCGTGCCCACAGTATGCTGAGTCGGTGCAGATGGCCCTGTTGATGCTGAAGGCGGAGTGCCAGGCAACGCCCTTGACGCGACACTGCTACCCCCTGGCGTCTTTTCCTTGTCATCCTCATCCTCGTTAGGCGGCAACGGGACCCTAACGCCAAGAAGGAAGGGAAGAAGGAGCTCTGTATTTTACAACTCTTACAACAAAGAGGACAGCTCCTGCAGGAGGACGTGCGGGCAGCTAGCTTGTCCATGCCAGTACCGTGACACCGTACACAAGAGAACACCTCATTAAGGGCCAGGGAGATGGCTCAGTAGAATAAGCGCTTGCCTGGCAAGCGCAAGGGCCTGAGTTCAATCCCTGGTTCTGAAAAAAAAAAAAAAAGAAGAAGAAGAAGAAACACCTCATTAGGACTGGCAGAATCCTGACAAAAACCAGAAAATCTGAATATTCCTATATGTCTGTTAAAGAAACTGTATGCTATAAAAGGCTTTCCGCACAAAAACTGCAGCGCAGATAACTGTTCTCAAACACATCCAGAAGAAAGGAAAACACTTAGCAATTCATTGATGTGACCAGTATAGTGAACACCAAAACCTGTAAAAATATAAACTGTATTCATTACAAGATGCTAGGAAAAAACTGTTTATTGAAAAATCTTTTTAAAAATTTACTTATTTATTTGATACAGGGTATTGCTATGCAGTTCTGACTCATAGCGACCCTCCTGTTTCAGCCTCCCCAGTGCTGGGATTACAGGCGTGCACCACCGTATCTGATTTCAAGGTCGGCACGGCATGTGGTCATGGGGACCAAACTCTTGTCCTTGTACTTGCTAGGCAGGTGCTTACACCACCCTGCTATTTCTTCAGCCCCAACAAAAATCACTTAAATCAATCGACAAATTGGTGTAATCCTCAAAACAAATCCTTGTAACTCACTGCAGGAAGAGAAAAGCATTAAAAATTCATTACACTAACAGAAAGGAAAAGCAGTATCTTCTCAACAGTGGTAGGAAACACATATGATAAAATCCCACAGCTATTTACGAAGAAAATCTTAGTAACCAGAGTACCAAGGGACTTTGTAATCTGTCAAAGGCCTGAGGATTCCCAGGAGACAGTGGCAGTTAGTAACAGAAACACAGCTGTCACCACTTCCACTCAACGTGGAACAAGTAACTAATGTGATGAAGGTGGAAGAAATAAAAGGCCTATAAATTTGTGGTGTAGGGAGAGAAACGACCCTTAATCGTAAGTAGCAGAAGTGTACTCACAGCATACACAAAGGAAGCCCCCAAGCCCTTGGAGTCAGTAGTCACATTTTCTGGACCAAGGCCAATCAGTATTGGGAGAAGAGCTGTGTACACAAGCACCAAGATGAAAATGAAGTTCAAGCAACAACACTCAGAATGGGCAGAAAAACCGAAGAGGTGGAAAACACATGAACAAATGCTTGTCTTCTCTAGTTCCCAGGGACATTAAGCTCAAATCTCGACACAGCAGCACACACACCTTCTGTGTGCTGCTGTGTACAGAGCTGGCTGGGAGACACGACCCCTCAACTGGATTTAAGCAATGCAAATGGGCACAGGCCTACAGCTCCTATTCCCAAGTTTGAGCAAGGTCAAGGATGCTGCGTGCCGGCTGGGACTGAGCCCTGAGAGGCCATCCTATCTAGGGCAGTAAGGTCAGACATCAGAGCTGAGGTTCTGACCAAAAACACATGATACAGGGCCAGGAAGACAGCTCAGTAAAATAAGCACTTGCCTGGCAAGCGCAAGGGCCTGAGTTCAATGCGCAGTTCTGTAAAAAAAAAAAAAAAAAAAAGATACTCTCTCAAATTGTGTCACGTAGACGCCTCCACACTTAGAGGCTGCCTGTCCCCGCAATCTGGTACTTTCTGCACAGGTGCCACTGCGACTCCTACAGAGCCAAGAGCCCCAGCACTCACATACTTCCACCCTCACTCACTCAATCCGAGCCACTCCCACCTTCACAAACTAAAAAGCCCTGTTCAGCCCTGGGTTAGTCATTATTCCAACTGGACTTAGAATCCCCTTGTGCCCCACAACTGCAAGTATGTCGTTGTCTTTTTCTTTTTGCTGTGGGTTGCCCTAAAAGTGGTAGATTGGAATTTACTTACTAGAATTCCAGTAACTCTTCCCTAGGATTATAAATAAAAACTCCTCTGGATGGTGATGAGATCTCGATTGGGTTCCCCTCAAAATTCACTTAACACATGAAGCCAGGGCATGGTGGTGCACCCCTGTAATGCTAGTGCCTGGGAGGCTAAGGCAGGAGGACTGCCATGAGTTTGAGATCAGCCTAAACTACATAAAGAGACCCTGTCTCAAAAACGAACAAGGGGCAGGGGGGATGGCTCAGTGGAATAAGTGCTTCCCTGGCAAGTGCAAGGGCCTGAGTTCAATCCCTGGTTCCACAAAA